TGTACCAGTGATGATGATGGGTATCAGGGTTTGGTGGGCACCTCTGGAGGGCTGCCAGGTTCTTGTATCCCATAACAAGGACTTGGACAGAGGCACTCCAACACAAACAAAGCAAGTAAGTGTATTAAGAATGTATCTCCAAGGGAGGAAGTGTGCTGGAGCAGAAAGAAAGCTTAGAAGTTCAGCATTGGCTCACAAAGCATTTGCTTCACCTACCTAGGGTGAGTTTTATGGGCTTCATTACGTATAGCACCTTCTTTGTGGTTCATCTGTGGATGCTTTTTCTATGCATTCTGTTCCATGGAGATCAAAAAGAGTTAAGGTCACTTTTGAATATTCTGGAATGCCTCTGTACTTGTTCCAGTAGCTTCTGCCAGTCCTAGTCAGCCCTGGTGGTGGATGGAACTGTTGAAACCTTGTTTTCACCAATGCCATGAGGTATTTCTCATGTACTAGCTTTGCATTCTTTTTTGTAATGCCTTCCCGATCTCACACTATACCCAACTCTCCCACCTGGACTCCTTCCTGAGAGCTGTGGTCCCAGAAATCTTTACAGGGGGCTGGAAGACAATGATACATGTCTTTTTATAAGCATTTCTTGCTGTGAAGGGGCAAAATCTCTGCCTAAAAGGGACCACAAAACTCCCTATTCTAGTCAGTGTCCGGGGAGATTTGGACCCTGGGTAGTAGGAATTTGCTGAAATCCCCGTCTCCCAATGAGTTTACTCCTGTATCCTAGAAAACACAAAGCTTATAAGGAGGTTAAAAACACAACATTCAAATAATATGGTTGTGCCCATAATGACGCCTAATGGGGCAAGAGCCATGAAAGCTATGACTGTGTATGTGGTCCCAGGAGTGCCTTCCTTGTATAATGTGGTCCTGAGTTATATCCCTAGGTTGTTTTTTTTCTCTTCTTTAATACTGATAGTTATACATTGAGAATGTGAGAAGGCACAAAAATCTAAGAAATACAATTGTGAAATAGGTTAAAAGAAAAATAGCTGGGGTTGTAATCATTATACAAACAGTGCCAAAGAAAAAATAATGAATGCATAGTAATTGCATATGCTAGCAGATGCATTAATCTGTCATCTTTACATTTAAAAGGTGTTTTTCTTGATTAGAGTAAATGTTTAATATTTTTTAAGTTTCCCAGTATAAGTGTCCTTCAAGATGTTCTTGAAGCTGTAGAGACTCAGAGGAAAGAAATTGTATTCTAGGGATGAACTTTGCAGGTCTATGTGGAGTAGATGTCCTGGGAAGATGACAGCAAACATCAGAAGATACTTCCTGGAAAAAGGTTGTCCTTCACATTGCTCTGGCTGCTCTAACCCACATGGCTATAGTTTATAAACATCCCAAATATGCACATGCTGAGGGTTGAGCAATGTCCCCTAACTTTTGAGTGAGGATGCCTGACGTTAAGGCCTATTATTAGACCAATAGGGCAAGTCCCTAACAGGAGCACCCCTGTATTAGGACAGTTAGGCAAGATGTCAAAGCTGAACCCTCAGGAGCAATAATATCCTGAGACTGAAGTCCTTCCCTTGAGCAATAGGGGATTCTGGAAACTGTCTGTTGGGACCAGAATTGAGACAATGATCAAACAACTATTTATGCATACCTCTGATTCTCTGTTTCTCTATTTAAATTTAAAACTGGTGTCAGGACTGTAAATATGGACCTGGGACCACTAGATTTCTCTGTTTGCTTTTTTCAGCATGGCAACATTGATTAAACCTCTTTTCTCTAGCTCTTTCCATCATTTCATATCAAGCTACCAACCAGGATTTTTGGCCAAACACTCCACTGTGAACTAAAAGTAAAAATTTCAATTTATGGGACCATTTATAAGCTACTTGGATACCATGTGAACAATATACAAACCAAACACATGTATAATACATAGTCACACAAAACCACATGTATAGATTTAAATGCCAAAGATTTTATAGCTTTAGATTTTATCACTTTCCAGTTTTTAGTCTATTGATCTGATTATTTCCTCTGTAACATTGAGCAATTTTTAATCCAAAACTGCCCTTTCAAGGACCTTTAATGGAAACACAGGAGGGCTTAAACCTTGATAACAGACACAAAATTGGAAGCGGCCCAGTTCTATGGGCACAAGCATAAACATTTAGGAGGCAATTTGACAGCACGGCCACCTAGTAAAGCTAACAACAGGCTCTTTCTATCCAGGGCCTCTGAGGTCCTCAGCCATGGCTGTTGAACAGGATTACAGTACCAGGCATTTCCTCACGTAGAACAGGCCACAGATCCAGTCAGAAGGCAGTTATCCCCTATGACAATCCTGCCAATATTGCCCTTGTGGGCACAACTTGCCAGGCAAATTAAAAAAACAAACAAATGGGTAGGAAGGGTTTTGTTTCCATTTCTATACTGGACCTCTTGCTCCAGGGTGTATCTTATTACCTGGGAGAGTAAATCCACACCCTCTAGGATGGAAGGAACTGTGAACAGTAACTGAACAGGAAGAACTTGACATATGTAACCACACTCCTTGATCTGTGTGTGGGGTTGAATTTGCAAAGGTAAGAGCTGGCAGCTCATTTTCTTGGGATGTAAACTGAGGCGAGATATCAGGCCTCTTTAGGAGATGGTAACTAATCCTTTAAGGCATCACAAGCCGTTAGCTTGTGGCCATGCTCCAGGCTATCAGGGTCTGATCTTAGAGAATGGGGGGATGAGGTGAGTTTTTGGTTTCAGCTTTTTTTTAATCTCTATAGTCCCTCTGACAGATCAGCAGGATCACATCATAAAGATCTCCTTCCTTCTGGAACTGCTTCATAAGGTGAGAAGGGATGCTAAGGGACCTGTTTGGTGCCTCTCTGACTCAAAATCCTAGGATCATAAGGCTAAAAGGATTGAGCAGGTTATCACAGGAATCTGAAGGTCATCCCATGATATCATTCGGAGGTCAAGGGTCCTCATAGCAGTGAGATGGCAATGATTGATAACCCTGAGACAATCCCATCTAGAGCTTAATAGCCTGTAATCCAAAGGTATCAAACATACCAGAAGGTTAAAAAGAAGCCAGTTCTCAGTAACTTCCCTGTTGTCATGGTAAAACACCTTTACCTTAGGAGAGTAGTGTTTACTTTAGCAGACATACCCATCCCTGTGAGGAAGTCATAGTAGAAGGCACTTGAAATTAAGTAAAGAGTTATCATTGTATGCAGACTCCACCAAACTGAACCACCAGGAAGTAAACAAAAGTCACATGTCTGGGAAAGCTGAAACAAAGTTCACTGGGGCCCTCCCTGGAGTTACTGAAGCAGTGAACTAGGAAGTGGCTGGCCAGCCCTCAGGTGGGTCTCTGTGAGTTCGAGGGGAGCTTGGTCTACAAAGTGAGTCCAGGACAGCTGCGGCTGTTACGTAGATACACCTTGTCTCAACACACACGCGCGCACACACACGAATCAGAAACCCACTTGTTCACACCCAGGAATCCCACAAAAACACTAAACTGAAAGCCATAATATACATGCAAAGGACCTGGTGCAGACCCATGTAGACCCTTTGAATGCTTCCTCTGTGAGTTCACATTAGTTTGCTTATGCTGATTTAGAGGGCCTTGTTTTTTTGGTGTCCTCCATCCCTCTGGCTCTTACATTCTTTCTGTCTCCTCTTCCTCAGGATTCTCTGAGTCCTGAGGGGGAAGGATTGAACAGAGACATCCCATTTAGAGCCGAGTGTTCCAAGGTCTCTTACTCTCTGCATAATGTCTGGCTGTGGGCTCTATATCTGCTGCAGAAGAAAGCATCTCTGCTGATGGCTGAGCAAGGCACTGATCTATGAGTATAGCAGAATGTCATTAGAAGTCGCTTTATGGTTGTCTGTTAGAACAGTAGTATTCAGTTTTACCCTAATTCCCTGGGCCATCTAGTTTCTGGTTCTTGGTCACCCACGTGGTGCTGGGTAAGGGCCCCCTCTCATGATGTAAGGTCTTACATCAAATCAGATGTTGGTTGATCACTCCCAGTGCTTTGTGTCACTATCACCCTCGTATTTCTTGCAGGCAGGACACCGCCGTAGAGGAAAGTGTTTCCAGATGACTTGGTGGTTATGTTTCTCATTTGGTAGTGTGCAGAATACCTTCTTGTACCAAAGATGCTAGAATATAGGGGTGAAGGCTCTGTATAGGCGCCATCTTGGCCTCTCCATCTTCACTGAGCTGTGTAGGTGTTGGGGCCTTGCTGTCAATTTGTGGAGAACAACCTACAGTGTAGGCAACAGACTGGATTGGGGGATTTCCATGAGATCCCTTTGGCCAACAACTAACTTAGTTGTGGCCCAATCCCTGTACTGGAAACTGGTGACGGAGACGGCCTGTTGGGACTCTGTCTCCCATTATTTGGCACGTTCATTCAGATTGCCCCCATTTGTGTATATATTTTAGGAAGCTTCTACTGTCTTTGGCTTAAATACTACCTGTCAAGTTGTCCTGTCTTTCCCTATATTCCCTTCCTTCTTCCCCCAACTCCCCACTTGATTCTCCCATTCCAGCGCCTCCATTTACCCATAACTATCTATTCTATTTCTCTTTCCTAATGGATCTATTTGTGTCACCTAGTCACTTACTATATACTTATCTTCTGTGGTTCTACAGACTATAGCTTGATTATCATTCATTGAACAGCTAATATTCACATGTTTTTCTAGGTCTGGGATACCTCACTCAGGATGATGGCTCCTGGTGGGGGTGGGGATGCTGCTAATAGTAGCCAGTGACTAGAGAAAATGAAGGAAGGAGAAAAAAAGACCACACACACACACACACACACACACACTAGATGGATGAAGTAAGACAAGCTCCAAACAAGCAAGTTCCAACAAACTTCAACAACTTTACACAGACAGACAGACAGGTATATGTATACATTCACATACTGGGTGGATGGAGAAAAGCTTCAACGAGCAAGCTCCAACCACTTTGCATATACACATATACACATACACACATCCGGTGGGTTATTCACAGGCGCCTATAACTTTATTTTTTTTCTCTGCAGCTTATATATCTCAGCAAAATCTTTCAAGCACTACAAAAATCACAGTGTGGCTACATTCCATCTTCAAGTTAATGATTACTTACATGTTCCTCAATGCCCTCACGTATTATGGGTGAAAAAACAAATGTGAAAACAAATTATTCCCAAGGACCCATATACAACTTGTTATAGATTAACAAAGTGTAGGCAGGCAAGGGTCTGTCGCACCCGGCTCCTCTCTATGGGCTGTAATTTGCGGTTACAAAGAAAGAATCAATTAGCTTATAAAAGCAATCTTTTAAAATCTAAAAAGAATCACAAATCTAAACTTTGATATAAAAAACAATCAGCCATTTCTACTTTAAATCCTCAAGGTGCACATCTACTCACTAACAATTTTTATTAAATCATGAAGCTGAGGGCAAAAACGGGTACAAAAAGTTCACCTTAAAGCTCAGCTTCAGCGAGAATAACGTCAGCTAGTGTTAATTTGAGCTATTGTCCTTGCTCCCTAACTTCAAAAAGTCCCTAGCTCAACCATTAAGAGTGTACTTTTCTGAACTTCAGATTGTGTCCTCAAGATTTTCTACATCAGAGCCACTGACAAGAAACACCTTTGCCTAGCCTTATTAAACAATCTATTTTTCTAAATTTTTTCTAAGGGTAGTGGTCACTGATAACAATCTGCATCTCTAGGTTCTTTCCAAGGGTGGTAGATGAAGCATTAATCCGCTCCTGCAACAATGCCTGAAAGAGATCAAGCATTATTATTTTGATACTGCCCAGTAAGGGGCACAACTCACACATTATGAGGGATGTGGTAACCAGAGGCCAGCAAGCAGAACAATGCTCCACAACACCATAAGGTCCTCAGGATGCACAGTCCTCAGGCTCTGCCTCCTCAGGCACATTCATCAAGGTTGTGCTAACAGGTGGGCCGCATTCCATGAGTTCTAAAGTCCTTGGTTGTTGTTCTCTCACAGGCCTCAGTATATCTATTTACCTGTGAATTTCATAATGCCATTTGTGTGTGTGTGTGTGTGTGTGTGTGTGTGTGTGTGTGTGTGTGGCTTTTTGAGACAGGGTTTCTCTGTAGCCTTGGCTGTTATACTCCATTATGTAAAAGTAGCACATTTTCTTTATCCATTCTTCTGTTGAGGGATACATAGATTGTTTACAATTTCTGGCTATTCTGAGTAGAGCCCACGATACTTACAGGCCAGTCTCACAGGCATTTTCTCAATTGTGGTTCACTCTTTGCAGATGACTCTAAGGTGTGTCAAGCTGATTTAAACTAACTAACTGACTGACTAAAACAAAACTAACCAATACACAGATTGGGCTTTAGGAAAGTTATTTGTATAGCATGGGCTTTCTCATGAATTTCTGTCAAATGCAGTTTTTAATAAGTCACAGGTTACCTTCCGATACTCTGGAGTGTGCCTACTTCACTGGCCCTGACCAGTTCTAGTTGGCCTTGGCCAGGAGTGGTATGAGGTTCAGCCTTCCTTTTGCCAACAAGTTTTTCTAGTATATTATTTTTAGCATTTGTTTATTGATTTGGGGTAAGTCCAGGGGTCAGAGGACAACGTGTACAATATGGTTCTCTCCTACCACCATGTTGGTTCCAGGGCTTGAGTCAGGTTCTCAGGCTTGGTTGCAAGCACCTTTGCCAGATGAGCCATATCACTGTCTCATCATTTATTTTTTTTAACTGTAATACTTTTGCAGCTTTTGTGCCAAGATTGTCCTTCACTTTCCGCCCATCCTTCTGCACCATCAGGACAGATGGCTAAGCCTAGCCTGTGGGAACATGGGATTTTCCCATAAAGCTGAGTTTACTTGAGGAGGGTAGAGTTCTGTCTTCATCAAGGCTCTGCTGGTTCAGTGGGCAGGGAACCTCCTACTACACACCAAGAGTGGCTTCAGGGGTCCCAAATGATCTGTTCCTTCCCCTTCTGGTGCTCTATCTCCTCTGACAGTCAAGCTACTTAGAATAAGTGTCTGTTCTTGTCGTCCAGAGGCAAATACTCGGAAAGGAACCATAGGTACATATGTATATATCATATACTTTTACACTCTATAGATACATCATCCCTTACAAGGTGAAGGCTCAGAGACTATTGCAGAAGAGAGGGTGGAAAGAATGGAAGAACTGAAGGAAGAGTGGCTGAGAGAGGTAGAAAAGCCATTTCCTCCAGCTTAGGACGAGCATCAGCCATGAACAGGGAAACTGCTGCTGTGATCCCCAGGCACGGCAATGAAACATGCACAATACAACTGTGGTAAATAGATTACTGTCGGTCATGAAGCTGTTAACACTCCCACTTAGAGGGACACAGGGTCAGTGGACCTGGGGTCCAGGCCATGGCTCCCAGCTGCATCGAGTCTGGCACAAATGTCTGGGGTGTATATGAGGTGTGAGTACACTAGGAATTGGTAGTCTAGCAGTGCAGCCTTTGTGATTGTCACCTAGGCCAAGTGGGCCTTTTCAGTGACTGAGCCACACGAGAGTCCCAGGCTTTTGTAAGCAACGCCAGTTAACTGCTTCACCAGTCTATACTTGGATGGAATCCTTTCTTTAGTGTCTACAGGGTCAACAGACTTGGTTTCTACAGAAAAGGTCATACAAAACAGACATCAATTAGGCAGTAAACACTGGATGAAGTGGGAGTGGGGAGGGTCAACCACCAGTTGGAGAAACTCTGGCTCTGGGTATGACTGTAGCATTTGGGCCAAGACAAAAGACAAAGCACAGAGAGAGAAGGCTATGACACCTCCAAATGTGGAACTGGCTTTGTGGCAATTCCTTATCTTCACACACCCTGGGGCCACATCCTCAGAGAGTGCAGGTACCAAGCCAAATGTCAACTTTCCTCACAGCCAAACTCCAGCAGACCACTACCACAGCCATCGGCCTCATGATCAACAAGCCCACTATACAATGGAAACACCACCAAGAGGCTCAGGACTTCAACAGCCATGCTACTGCTGAAATGCGGCTTTGTGACCATGGGGTCTCCTGAGCTAGAATCTTCCTGAATACAGAGCCAGAGCAGCATCGACAGCCATGGGCCTTAGAGGACAGACTTCCAGATCACAGCTGTTGCCCTCTTGCCCAGCCCTACACAGGACATGAAGTTTGGAGGTCCCAAAAGGAAGCAGCCATTAGAGGGTCCTCTGAGATAATGTCTCCTGGCTCCTTGTTCCTTCTTTGCCTCTCACCACTTGGATCTGGGTGCCACCGAGGGTCTTGCCAGGACTGACTCCAGGAAGAGCTCTAGATGAACTCAGTGGCTGGCCATCAAGGCCCCACTCTGTTGCCCCAGGGGTTCTTGATGTGGGATGGCAGGTATGTGGTCTTGTTCCAGGGCCCTTCAAGTTGGACTTTAGAGTCTCAGTGCTCTGGCCCTTTCAGGGGAGTGGATGCAGCCTCTCTAGGCCACCTGGGTGTTCTCGAGTGTTCAAAACCCACAACAGGTTCAGGATGATTTGGAGGGTCCTGACTAATATCACAGGTTCCTCTGGCCCATGGCACTTGCTTGCTTCTTCTAGGTGAGGGTCAGGCTCTGAGAATCTTGGCTCTTGTGGGGTTTATTAGAGGACATGGCTGGCATGGATGCCTCTTGGAACTCCTTGGCCATGTAGTAGTAGCAGATGGCATCCAGACAGCAGTTGACGTCTGAGAGCTTGCCTGTGATGGCCAGGGCACGGCTGAAGGTATCACGGGCAGCACAGGTGTTCAGGCCCAGGGAGACCTGCACTGTCAGGACCACATGCAGTGGCAGGAAGCAGATGATGAACACTGCCAGATTGGCCCAGACCATCCGGGTGGCCTTGTGGGTGGCCTCTGCCTGCCCTACATCAGTGGTCGGCCTCCGCACCAGCGCAGTCACCACCTGTAACGAGCAGAAGACCACTATGGCCAGTGGCAGGTAGAATCCCAGCAGTGAGAAGATGGTGGTGAAGTTGTGCCTGCTGGGGCTCCTGAAGCAGAAGCCACCCTCTTGCAGCCCCAGGTGCCAGCGCACTACGAGGGAGGAGACCACCACCACCCAGAGGGCCACACACACTGCTGCAGCCTGTCGCGGGGACCGCAGCTCACGGGCACGGATCGGATGCCGCACTGCCACATAGCGGTCCATGGCGATGGCGGTGACCAAGCTTATGCTCATGTACCTGTTGGCCAGGTAGATGCCCTGTGAGAGCTGGCAGACGGGTGTGTCTGAGGTGTGTCTCAGGGAGTACAACATGAATGGCAAGGAGCAGAGCAGGCAGAGGTCAGCCACAGCCAGGTTGGTCATGTAGACGCGGGTCTCTGTCCACTGGTGCATGCGACAGCAGAACACCCAGAGTGCCAGGCCATTGAGAAGCAGGCCCAACACCAGCAGCAAGACGGAGTAGGTGAAGAAGACATAGTTGACTGAAGCAGGCCATGTGAGGGCTTTACAAGTTGCATTCATGGTTCTAAGGATGCAAAAGGGACAGAAAGTAAGGGTGGAGGGAAAGGTCCCAGGGTAAGGCCCTGCCCCCGTGCCAATGCCTGCCCATCTTTCTGTAGTTATTCGAGAGCAGGCATGCAGCACACTGTGTCCCTCCTCCAGACATCTGAAACTCCCCCTTTCAAAGAAACCATAGAAACTGTAAAAACCTCAGATTCACCCTCAAGGCCTAGCCTTTGCTCCCTGGACAGGTAAACCAAAGCCTCTAGAAATGATGGGAAGATCTACTGTTGCTGTGACCAGCCCAATGCTAGAGACAGAATGACCCTCCCATCTCCCTAGCCCTCCTCTCCTTTCACCAGCCTGTTTCAGGGGAGACAGAGGCAGGCAGAGTATCTACAGGTCTTGTCCAGGAAACATCCAACTCTCTAGAGCTCAAGTCCTAGGCAGAGACCAAAGCCGACCAGCCTTACCCAGCATGCAACTCTGAGAAGGAAGACCTCAGAGGCAGCTCCACCTATGGGCCTAACGATCCCAAGGCTGGACCTCGTAGTTTTCTGCTCCCAACCTACATCCAGTTCACAGCTGTGGCCATCACTTAATCTGCTTGGTCTGTCCCCCAAACACAGGACACAGTATTATAGCTCAAGGTTGCCTCTCGAAAGCTGTGGGAATTTCTGCTCTGCCACCACTAGGTCTGCAGCAGGCCGAGGGCCCATCCCAGGCTCACGTCTGAGATCAGGATGTCTACCTGAGCTCAGAGGTACACATTTCCTAGTGTTAACAGTCCTGCCCTCCAGGACCTGGATGTGCTCAGAGGCTCCTGCTACTGCCATTGTCAAGAGCATCCCAGGGCCACCCTCTGCTGTCCACACTGGCCCCTTACTCCCTTGTCCACTCTCTACAGTGAGGCCCAGGAGGCTACTGAGCTCATTAAACCCCGCCCAGGTGGGTTGGGCAGTGGTCTGACATCTGCACTCAGATGGTGGCACAGCAATCAAATGCCCTCACCCATCTCAGTCTTGGGCCAGCCTCAGCTACCCCACCATAGGGGTCCTGCTGTGACTTCACAACACTGAGTGGAAACTGACCCAAGAAACTGCCAGCAAGCGCTGAGTCCAGGCATACTGGACATATTCCTTTTTGAGTACCAGGACCAGGAAGGGCTGCAGGATTGGGTGGGTTGTAGGTCTAGGGTTTACTGCAGGGGCTTTCTGCTGGGGAAGATGACAAAAAAGAATTGGGTTCACCAGGGAGAGTCAGGGCCAGGCTGGCTCTCTGCCTTGGAAACATGGGAGGCATGTGTCTTCCCCGACACAGGAAATGGATAAACACCCGATCCAGTGACTGCAGACAGGAAGGATAATAAACACTAAATTGAGCCAGGGCTCATTTCCTCTTTGGTCTCCGGGGAACCCACAGTCCATTAGAGAAGCCAGGCACAGATTCCAGCTGAGATGAATATTCTGCTATCATATTTTTGTGCCTAGATTCCATATCTGCCAGATTAGAAAGGCCTATTTGCCAGCAATCACAGTTTAATGAGCCCTGTTTTTCCGCCCTTCAATACTACCCAGTGTCCTGAGGCCCCTGGGGGGACCCTGAGCCAGGCTGAGCTCTAAGGACCTCCTCAGAGTATCTGACACTGACTACTTAGATGTTCCTTTCTGCTCCTCACTCCCAGATACCCCCACCCAGAAGCAAGCTGTGGAGCCTCCAGGTTGATGGCTGGAGTTTGTTCAGTATCTGATAGGAGCCCCTAGGAACCTGGGCTGCCTATGGGGAGGAGCCCCATCATGCCTCCCACCGGAGGCCTCTGCTCCCGAAAGCGCAGCACCGCACACACAATGTCTTACTCTCTGTCTCTGGGCTTGGAAGAGGCAGCCTGGCTTCTGAGCGGCCTGAAGCCTGTGGAGGTGAGCTGTAGGACCGCTGCTTGGCCTCTCTCCCACATGGCTGCATGGAGGCCTCCTGTTACACACCCAAGCTCGAAACTTTCAGGTTGGTCTCAACATGGCCCAGCACTTTGTAGGGTCAGGTCATAAACCTCTGTCTACTTAAGACAACACAGAACTCTAAGGAAGAAAGATTCGAACATTCCAAGAGGCCACGGTGCACACACAGCTTGGAAGAAACACACTGCTCAGGAACCCTCATCCTTCAGGACATGCTACATTCAGGATTTCAAGTCCCAGGGCCTAGCTACAGCCAGCGTGTCCTGGCCTTGCCTCAGTATAGCACAGGGGACCGCAGCCAGCACACTCCCAACTGCCTCAGAGTTGTAGGTGGGTTGCCATCAACAGGCACTTGGCATTCATCACACAGCTAGGGCTTGGATGCTCACAGTTCAGTTTTGAGAAGCTGCCAGTGGCTGCTGGGTGGAGAGATGGCACTTTCAGGCTACAGTAACTTCTACCCAGTGTGAACTATGAGGCTGACGTGGGGAGGGAAGCCAGCTGTGCACAGGGCAGTTCCTTTCCTCCACCTCTACTGGCAAGATCGAGTTCCCTCGAGTACAGGTGAAGCAGACGCCTGCCCTGTGGGTTCAGCACTGACCATCTATGAAAGAAGCCTGTAGAGGCAGATGGAAAGCCTGAGCCCACCTGAGCCCATCCCTGGGCCACTCTGATGTCTGAATAGGGACCCACAGACACCCGAGTGCTTGTATGCTCATAAGCAGGCCCAGGGGCCCACCCACTGGCTGAGATACGGGGACAGGAATAAGGCACTGTCAGTAAGATGCTGCAGACGCTCTGAAACCACAGGGGCTGGAGCCTGGACCCCTACAGAAATGCCGTAGGCCCCACAGAAGGCACATGGCTAGAAAAGTGCTGCTCCTCTCAGAGGCACAAATCTTTTTTTTTTTTTTTTTCTAGTTTTCAAGTGCAAGACACCACATATAAAATAGACTTTTAGGTCTCAGATGCAGTCGGCACTAAGGCCTGGAAACATCCTGAGCATACCATAGCCCAGTCCCTACTGTGCCCAAGCATACCCACCTGACACAGCCCAGCCCTACCTCATCTGACAGATCCCATCTCTTCCCCACCCTTCCAGGGAGACCCATCCCATCCCCACCCTCACCACACTGGACAACCCCATCCCAGTCCCACCTCATCTGACAGACCCCATCTCTTTCTCACCCTTCTGGAGAGACCCAGCCCATCCCCACCCTCACCACACTGGACAACCCCATCCCAGCCCCACCTCATCTGACAGACCAGCCTTACCCATTCATCCTACAGCCTGCAGCCCCGCATCAAGTGATAAATCTCACTCAGCTCTGACCACTGTGGAAGCCTCGGGTGACATCTTGTCACACACCTGTCCTCCCTGGGGCTGAGGATGTCGAGCCTCAGCTGTGTGTCTTAAGCCTGCCCCTGACGTAAGTTGAGTAGGCTGTTGGGCTTATTGACGGCAGCAACAGGGAGGCGGCAGCTCCCTGCCCCCACTGCCTGCGCTGCTTTTACCAGTCCTGAGGCCAGTCTGCAGTGGGGATTTCTGGAAGGGAAGCTGATACCTGCCACCTCTGCTGACACCTACAGAGAAGCAGCAAAGGGTGCATTTGCTCTGGAAACAACTTGAAATGGCTAGCTAGGCAGCTCAGCCCCACCCAGCTTCCTCTTCCTTTGGCTCACTTCATTCTTTCTCATCCCCACAGGGTGGGCCTGCAGTATCAGTGGTTACAGAATGGCACCCTGCACCCTGCTCTCCGGCTGGAGGCAGCAATGCTCCTCCTCTTCCACGCTCACAGAGATGTTTTTAACAGTCGCACCACACATTCCTACCTGACAGATGACCCAATCAACATGGATGGCTACGATGGAGGTAGGTCTGGCTCAGCCAGCCCAGAGACAAATCCAGACAGCTTACTCCTGACGGCTACCAGCCTAATCCAGTTCCTCAGAAGCCGCTCCGGGGCTCACTCTCTTAGTCCAGAATATTTCCTTGTGCCTGTGAGCCCTGGCAGGCTTTCTTTGCCACAAACATCTTCATCCAGAGTTCAGGGGCCACATGCCACACTCACCTTCCCAGCCCATCCAGCTAAGTGCTGATGACCCGCAGCCTCTCTCCACAGATAGTGCTTCTGTCCCCAAAGACACCAAGGGGCTAGGAAGAGCTTCATTTCCACCCTCCCCGTTTTCCAGAGGCGGAAACTGAGACCCAGAGAAGGAATTTATTAGTGTGTCATGATTGGTGGCAGGTTTGGGACCAACACCCCAGGCCCTCGTCTCTCAGGCTGACTGAGATCTCTGCACGAAGGGAAGACAAGCCTTTGTTTGGCCTCAACCACTTCTTCCACTGTTTCTACGGGCACAGCCTATGCCGTTGATCACCTTTCCAGACCTCAGCCCCACCACTCAGCCTGGTGTGGAGAATCCTACCAAGGGCCACAGTGCTTCCAGGAGAACCGTCTCTTCTCTAGGCATGGGACTGGGTTTTCATCCTCGCCATCTCCCCACCTCAACCTCTGGCCATAGGATCTGCCCTGTGGGTCAGTAGAAGGTGCTGCTGGGTGGAGGCTTGGTCCCCTACCATCATGCGGACTGGCTCACGGGGCAGGACATCATTCCAGGATAGTTTCTCCCTTTGGATAGAGAGCTGAGACAGCAACAAGCAACATCAAGACCTCTGTCCCCTCCCCGTGGGCTTCTCCCCAGCAGCAGCCTGGCGACCTAGATGGTTCTATATTCCGGAAAGACACTGACCATGTGGAGGTCATGCTGGGCTCTAAGGCACCATTTTCTTTTGGATAGGGTGCAAACTGCCCTCAACCCTGTCTCCACACCCCACCAAGCCTCCACTTGTACTCTAGCCTAGGCTCTGCAGGTGACTCAAGGCAACACATGCAGGCTGTTCATGGGGCTGCCCAGCCCTTTTCTCAGAGGACTTAGATCTCCAGGTCCCAGAGACCTGGCCATTGCTGGTCAGATTTCAGTCGAGGCCAAATCCACACTCGCCCTGCTGGACAGCCTTAGAGTCATATCTGACTGGTGCCTCTTGCCTCTACCAGCCTCAGATCCT